GCTACCCGCCGATCCGGCGGGTAGTGAAGACGTGCCCTAAGAGAGACAGAACTCAGAGCAAACGGGAGGAGGAGCTAAAGCAGCTTTAATCCATTTTCACCCTCCTGATTCTGAGCTGTTCCAGGGACTGAAATGGCCCTCAGCATAATATAGGGAACCTGGGGGCCTGTCTAAGTTATCCCTGTGAGCCACAGCACTGCCCTAACTCTCCACAGCTGACAGCACTGCTCCCCAAAATATTTCTCCTGCCCCAGCCCCTTCCCCAGCTCATTCCCTACATCAGGGCTTGCAGCTGGGTCCTCAGAAGGCAGCCTTCCATGGTGGCTGCATCAGGGAATCCTCATCCAGCTGCAACTGGGGCTATTACAGCCCCCTTTTTGTCACTGCGACCTTTTTACCTGGCGTCAAGGAGCCGGAGTGGGAGTGAGGCTTTCACGCTAGACTATTTTCTGCTTAATTGTTATAATTCATTTTCTGAATTTGACTGTAAGTTTGTCATGGATGCTTAAAATTACAGAATCTTTAAAATGTAAAGAGTATAAAGGTCTATTGAATTTTAAAAGACAAATTACTCTTGACTTTTTTTCTTTCCCCTTCTCAACAAGAATAATTTCTGTCTTGTTCACGAATACCTCCTGGAATGCTTTTTGGTACCTTTTTGAAAATTGGCATGTCATTTTATTTCTGACTATGTAGCACTAAACAGCTTTTTCTGAAAACATGCTATAAAATACCTTGTGGTTCATGGTGAAGAATACTCTGTGATTCATGGTTGATCACACACCCCTATAACTTCTTCCGAGTGAGAGAGTAAATACAGTTGTAACATTTGCTCATGATGAGCAATCCCAGATTTGCTCTCTGAACTGTCAGTCTTCGAGCGAAGCTATTTTGATAGGATTTCAATTTAATGCATCTTCATGAAGATTTAGATTTGTTTCTATGAGCTAGATCCTAAAATGGTATAAATCTGCTTAACTCGATTGAAGTCAATTTATGAATCTTGGGCACATGCCTTTTTTAAGGAGAGGGCATTTATTCTTGTGGGGGGAATGCTACTTTCATCCATAGAAACTCCTGTGTGTGAATAATATTGGTGTGTAATTTCCAAAAAAAGATTTCAAACCACTGCTTGCCTGTTCCCAGAAACTCCCCAGAATGCAAACATACAAATAGTGAAAATGAGTTGCATCTAGAGCATCTGATCACATACACTTTGCATATACTTTTTCTATAAAACTCAAGTCTGCCAATAGCACTTTCTTTGGTGTTTACATAAAAGAAACAAAATCAATGTGAGTTATTTTTCTGTTTTATTAGCACCGTTTGCTGTTTTAAGTAAAAGGTTCAGAGTTTGTCCAGAGGAGTTGAGATTACACTAACATCAGCAGTTTTTCTGTTTGCTTTGCTTTTATTACACTTTTTGGCACCATAGTTAATTTCTAATCAAGTAAATGTGTTTGAAAGCATGGTTCAAGGGGAAATCTTACATTTCTATACAAGATATGTTACATGTATTTAAATCCAGTTTCATAAGTATGGTACTGTTACTACTACTTCACTGTAATAGTTTTGTAACTAGTGCAATTGTCTTTGATGGAAGAAAATGAATAGTAGTTTGCAGAGATACGTTATGGATTAATATTTGGATGAAAACAGGAAGACTGAGGAATGTTAGCATGCAAGCCTTTCGCCACAGGGCCACTGGTTCCAATACATCAAAGGCTAGTGGCAACACAAAGCTTTTGCCTTCTGATGGCTGTTCTTTAGCTTTCGTGAAGTATATTGTTGGTCTTAGCCAAGTTCCTAATGGAAGACACCCATTGGCAGACTCAACAGAGGCTAAAGATTGACAGGGATGAGCCACGTGAGTGGAGCAGCATAGGGAAACTTAAATCTCCCCATTCCCTGCAATCTCTGAAGGAAGGGGTGAGCCGCTGGAGCGGTCAACCCAGCTGTTTATGGGTCTGATCCAAAGCCCACTGAAGTCAGTGGAAAGTTATGACTTCCAAAGACTGCCATATACTTCAATGGGCTTTGGATCAAGCCTTTCATGGGCACTAAATTCACTTAGGAAATGTTTTTCTTTATTTAAAAATAGAACAGATTAAAGGCCAATAAATAAAACCAACTAGCCCCACCTCATTGTACAAACTCTGTCCTGTGGTTCTAAAGGCTTACACAGATAAGCAGGGGGCATGGAGTAAGGCCTTTATTTTTAATCTCATATAACTCAGCTCAATAATAATTAGCCTTTCATCTGCTTCTGTGGGCCTCCTGCACTGCACAGCTGCAGCAGCTAACCTTGGTTCCTTAGAGAAAATTATCTCCAGGAATTGATTTCCGAGCAAGGGTATTCATATCTCAATTACTCTTCCGTATCTTCATCACCGGGATGCACAGCTGTTGAAGAACCTCAGTCCAATCCACTGTCGTGCTGAATAGCTCACCATTGCAAGAGCACCATCAATATATATTGCTCCGTACATTTTTGGTCAGAGTTTCCTCTGTTGAGATCCCTGTTTGAGGGGCAGGGAGTATGGGGGAGAAGAGAGAGAGAGAGAAGAAGAAGTCTGTGCACACTTCTTCTCGGAAAGTATTAGGATAATTAAGTAAATGACATTTCTGTTTATAGAAATAGTTATCCCTTAGCATCTCAAAATTGCAATTAGACTGTAGCTTTCGGTGATGACTTCTTCAAAGTTTAATCAAATGAGCCAGGGAAAGTGATAGAAATATCCTACAGGTGATATTCAGGCAGTGGGGGATGCGGGATTGAGATATTCTGCAGGCCAACTGTTATGCCCAGAAGCATCCTCAATGGATGCATTTCAGAGAAGATACACCTTTCTCTGAGGGAATGTACCAGTATTTAATAGAATGAAACCAAAGCTTAGTAAAACTCCACCATTTTCCATCTCTGCTTCCTTCTAGAAGTTTTTCACTATTTGTTCTTGAACTTATTCATTTTAAGAATCTCATCTTTCAACAGCCATTTCCAGCCAGCCTTTCCTGTACCAACTAGGATGTGTTGACTAATGTTTTCAAAAACAGCTGCAAAGTATAATTCCCTGGCACCTCATATTTTTGAATTTTCTATATCTGCTTCCCCACTAGTTGTACAAAGCATTTGATCAAAACAGCACTTTCTCTACAATGGGAAAACATTGTAGTCTCTTTTGAAATTATCCAGGAATATTGGTGTTTTACTCAGTCTTACTGTCTTTTACCATCCTGTTTACTACTTGGATGATAGCCAGAAATACATAGATTTCTCCTACTTGTGCTGGTTTAAATACCTTTCACTACTTTCCAGCAGATATTCTGAGCAATAATTTTTCTGTCATCATTCATCAAGTTATTTTTTCTTTTCTTTTTGTAAAATCTGCTACATATTTTTGTGTATAATTGTATCTCTTCTTAGTATCTTAGGACTGCTCTTTATCACTAAATCCGAGACAGGGCAATATTGTGGTTTGTTTCTTGCTGCTCTAAGCAGGCTACTTGTGTTGCGGGACAGCAGCCTCTATAGGACGATTACTCTGCTGCTTATGTAGGTGAGCAGGGGGTGGGTGTAGCTTTGAATCTGCCCCCTCAATGCACAGCCAATATAGCTGATTTGAAACAGAGGGGGAAGTATTTTATGCCAGGTAAAGGGTTACTACAGATTACTTTCTCACTGAAGCAAGGAGGAAACCAGACTCTCAAATTGTAGCTCGGTGAGGGTACGTCTATGCTGCAATTAGACACCTGCGGTCGGCCCATGCCAGCTGACTCGCAATCATGGGGCTTGGGCTAAGGGGCTGTTTAAGGGGCTCTGGGATCCTTTAACCTTGCAGGGTCCTAGAGCTTCACCCTGAGCCCAAATGTCTACATCACAATTAAACAGCCCCGTAGCCCGAGCCCTGCGAGCCCAAGTCAGTTGGTGCAGACCAGCTAGGGGTTTTTAATTGCAGTGTAGACATACCCTGAGATGCAGTTCAGTTCCAGGTCTTCTCCTGGGGCAGCACAGGCATGCTCAAAATATATTCCAGGCTTATGGTAAATCCACAGTCTAGCTCTTAATAATCCTGACTTCTCATTATATTTCTCGAAACAGCAGATTCTCTTTTAAAAATAGTTCAAAATAAAAGTAGAAGAAATGTAGACGGCTAGGTACAGTGGAGCTTATGAGGTGGGGGGGAGGGGCAGTAGGGAGCTAGTTACTTCTCCCTGATTCTGAGGCTAGCCCTGGCCCCAGTGTAATTTAGAGCAGATATGGGGCTGCTCTAAAATGCACCATTGACAAAGGGTCTTTAATGGACCCAACTCCAATGGAAGATCAGTTTGGCAAAGCAGAGCTCCACATCACCCCACGCACACAGCCCAATAAACCTACTAAGTTGGACTGGGAGTGGGCACAGACATAGGACCTGGCTGCCATGCATTTGCACCAGCAGGGATTTCCCCTCAGACAGGGGTCTGCTTGGCATTTTGTGGCCTGGGGTCACATCAAGGGGTCGTTATGCCATTGGGAATCTGTCCCAAAGAACACAATACAAGTTTCAATCACAAGTTGTGTCTGACAAAAAGATCATTCCAAGTAGAGCAGGAATTTGCATGTTAAAGCAGTTAACACAGATAGACATTTTAGAAGGTTGTCTTTATGATCTTTAAAAAAACCACTTTTAATTACGCTCTTCAGCACTAAGTTCTGCTTCCCAGTTCCCTTTTGACATGTGGATCTTGCTCTTTAAGAGCCTGATTCCTCTAGCACATGTACATTCCTAGCTAGAATATTAACAAGCCTCTCTCAAACCAACACTTGGATATGCTCCTACCATAATGAATGGATTCAGTATCTTGGTTTTCTTTTAGTAACAGAAGTTTGCATGTATAGGAGGGAGTCGTGCCAGTGCTAATTATGAAAACGCTATTTTTAATATATCATTCTTGTGCCATGTCTTCTTATTACTTTCTCAAATTCTGACACTGAACGATGTTTTGCTTTGTTTTTGTAGGTAATGCAAATGGACCAGAAATTGAACCTCATTACAGATATGCTGCATCACCTGGTTTCCAATCAGCAGGATGGCCAAAGCAGTAACGGATCATCTCAAAGAAGCAACACCGTTAACTCAGATTTCTTCCTCCCTAACAACACCCTCCCTACTTATGAACAACTGACAGTACCAAGAAGAATCCAAGATGACATATCCTGATATGGTAGAAATACAGGCGGTTGTTTTTTCCCTTTTTAAATGGAACTGAAGGTTGTGAATCTGGAAAGAGTTAAATTTATCAGCCATATGGAACACACATGACTACTGTACCAATGTTTCTAGCCTCCGAAACACTCCTTCCAAAGACACTCACTCATATCAGATGAAGGTTTATCAAGCTAACACACCTCAAGGCCTCTGTGCTGTGTTGTTTTAACACAGTACATTCGTAAGTTCCATTTTTATTTTGTTCAAGAACAGTCGAGTGCAATTCATCATGGCACTACAAGACCAAAACAATATAGAAGACAGGCAAAATTGCAAGGAATTTATGGCTCCTTTTAAAGGAAATATAGTAATACTTGAATTTAGATAGCAATGTGTGCATTCTGTTTATGAATCTACTGATAGCAATATAGTTTTACTAGTTAGATTTTAAAGCAAAATGGGGTAACTTATGTTGATTTTATTGTATAAACATACCACTGACATTCTAGACAATGACAAACCGCACAGTGAATTATTTTCTTTTTTCTGTTACATAAACACTTACCAGATAATGACTAGATTTTCTTTTTAATCTGTTTTTCTTCAGGGAAGAAGTAGTGGTTAATCTGAAACAATACTGTTTATAGAGGAAAGTGCTATAGATTTTTTTAAGATATGAAGTTTTCATGGGAGAAGGATAAAATATTGCAATGGAAAAAAAATAATTCTGCTTTCTAGAAAACTGCTGCCAAAGAGTTTATATATAAATGTTAACACAACTATCTAAATGTGCTTTTCCAGAAAGATCTTTTAAAAACGAGTGTTCACTGCTTTTATATTTTTTCTATATCTAATTTTTGTAGCATTACTTCCAAAAATGTTACAAGTAAATACATGCAAAAGTCTAAAGCAACTGGATCTTGTTGGTCAAGTGCTTGAATCTGCCAGTTATGGAGCATCTACAACTCCCATAGGAACCGAGGCCCCAATTCAGAAATGCATCTGTAGTCGGTACAGCATGTAAGTGCATACATTAAGTCCTTAAGCATGTTTTTCCTGACTAGGGATAGACTTAAGCATGTGCCTAAGTGCTTTCCTGAATCAGGGACTCAAAACACTCAGCTCCCAACAGGAGACACTCAAACCCCCCAAAGGCTTAGACCCTAATTTAGGGGACCAAGGCCATTAAAACTAAAGACTCACATTGACTTGGTCATTCAGGCTCCAAATCCTGCTTGTCACACTCATACAAGTAGTCCCTGCTGAAGTCAGTGGGCCAGATTCTGCCCTTATTTATGCCAGTGTAAATCTGGAGTAACTCCACTGAAGTTAATGGAGTTCCTCCACATTTATTTTTGTATTAATGAGAGCAGAATTTGGCCCACTGTGACTACTCACATGAGTGAGGTGAGCAGGATTTGGACTTAGGTGACTTAGAGTGAAATTCACCCCATACCGAAAGCCAGCACAAAGCCTGTCCACTTCGAAGGCTTCAGTGGGACTTAAATGGTGCACAAGTTTTGTATTGGCTCTCTAAACACGGATGAAGTTCACCCTGGTTGAGAGAGTGACCAAAAACTGGTGATTACAAAAAAAATATTTAGGCCAAATTAATGACTAGGTTTATTGCAGGTAAATGAAGAGGAAGGCAGATGGGGCAAGTCATAAACTCTTCTACTGTTGTAGCAATAGATATAAAAATCCAAGATCTGAATATTTAGTGAAAGGAATTGGACTGTATTGCAAAACTGATGCCCCATAGCCACTTAATATTACATAGCAGTTAACCTCACCACACTTTAACATATGAGTAACATGAAATACTTGTGCATATCGATTGAATTGAGCTCACAGGGTAGTATAGGTAATAGGTCTGGGGGTTGTTTTAAACCTTTAATCTTCTAACATGTTTGATCTCAGTTGGATTATAGAGCAAAGCATACTCCTTATACCGATTGTTAAAATTATTCAGTCTTGCTGCTATACAGTAGATCATTTTAAGGGTGTAGAAATTTACAGATGTAAACAGGGACTATTTCTGGGCATTATGTTTTATAGAAATCAAAAATAATTGTGATGATTTTGAATTTGTTTTTTAATGAGGGTTCACTGTGTAATTTCAGGTTATTAATCTGACTATTAATTTCCTAATAAAATACAAGATGGGAGTGCTATGCCTTTGATTTGTTCTAAACTCCACAGACTTGGTACATTCCAGAAAGACTAATATTTTTTCTGGGTCTGTCACCATGGTGTGTGGGTGCCTTATTTGAAACACAAGATCTCCGTAAGAGTGACCAACCTCCATCCTCCTGTTCTGCCTGCATCTTAAGTAGAGAGCTGTGAAAACAGGATTTAATCTGTTGAGAAGATACAGGCAAAGAGATGTGTCCTGTAGCTCTTTCTAAAAGCAACCAGGTTCGTGCTTACACATATTTCCAGAGGCACAGGGCTTCTACCAAGAAAGCTCTGCCACCAGCACCCAAACCTTGCAAGATCATATCTTCATTTTCTTTCTAGCAGGTAAACCTCAGTACTAATAACATTGAACACAACACATTTCATGCCATAGGATCCAAAAGCAAACACTTTACACATTGATGTGTGAATGTATACATTTCAGAAACCACCTTGTACTGGGGTGGCTACCCCGCTCCTGCTGGAGGGGTTTAAAACAGCCCTGGCAGAGGGCTGGGGCAAAGGGAAAAGCTACTGGGCTGATTGGGGAATTAGTCACAGCTGGGCCACGCCCCAATCAGGCCCCAGCTGGCCCTATATAAGAGGCTGGGAGCCAGGCACTCAGTGGTCTCTCTCTGCATTCAGAGAGAGAAGGGCCTAGCTGCAGGGAACTAGAGCAGAGTACCTGGGTGGAGCAGGGCTGGGAAAAGGCTGAGGAGCTGGGGAGCTCCAGCCTGGAAAGCCCCAGGCTGTGGCCTAGTGTTAGGCCAGGAGGTACTAGGGGTTGCAGAGGGCAGCCCAGGGCTAGGCTAAGGCAGCAGGTCCAAACCCAACCTTGCCGATGATGAGTGGCCTATACTGCAGTCTGCCCCAGAGAGTGGGGGCTAGATGGGGACTGGCAGTGGCCTTATCCTGAGGTGAGGTGGGGTTAGTGGGTGGGGGATCCCCTGGGAGGGGAGACCTAGCGTGTGAGTGGGTATTGCCAGGGGGCAGCACCCAGAGCAAGGGGCACCGGGGCCCGGGGAGGGACACGGGGGCCAGTGCAGAGGACAAGGCGGACCACCAGCCTGCAGATGGTGCTCCAGAGGCTGGTGAGCTAATTCCCTGGATGACCAGCAGGAGGCGCTGCAGGGGTGAGTCTGGATCCTCTACACACCTTCACCAAAATCCTGTTCTAAACTCTGTTCCTAAAAGATTTCAAACCTTGTAGTGGTTATTTCTCAGGTATACAACTAGCTATTCCAGATCTGGATTCAGTTATTCCTTTCAGAAACATGGTACCAGCTCCTAAATCCTTTCTGACTTAACTCTTCATTCTGCAGGAGAGAGCGTCCTTCCAGGAGGAAGACTGATATATTTTCCAAAGGAAACATGGGCTCAAATAACCACTGACATTTAGGGTCCTAGTCATTCTTGAAAGATCGATCTGCCAGTGTAAAGAGGCCTTAAAGTGGCCTCATTTACATTACCAGAGGCAAGTGAAGGGGCTTAGTGTAAAAGAGAATCATGTCCAATTTCTCCTCCATTTTCCCCACATCTGATTTTTTTTTTTTATTCCTTCAGAAGAACCTCTTTATGATTTAAACCATCTATCTTAGTTCTTGGGCCCAAAAAAAGGGTTCAAAAACCCAAACTCATCACTGAACTTTGTTATAGACCAAGTATTTTGGAGGATTGTCTTCATGTTGAAAGTGAGTAGCAGAAGGAGGTGAACTTTTATGAAACAATTTATTGATTAATATCTTTAGTAATAATAAGGAAAATGACAGGCAGTACTATAATCATATAACTGCATATAATCATTGAGACATCTGAATTGTTTTATTAATGATTTGATAACTTGAAGTGACTTTTTTATTTGCCATAGTTCATTTTATTGTCTGAATAAAGGAAGCAGAACTGTGCTGTCTCAAATGAGGAGGTCACCCTCAGCTAAAAGGACCTCATTAAGCCAGGGTCTTGAATGCCAGACCCTTGTGAAAGTAGAGAGGGGTGGGGACAGGTGTCCCAGACAGGAGGAGTGGACTCTCCCTAAGGGTTCCCGGTCTGGTTTAACCTGTTCTTCCCCAGTATTCAAAGATAGAGATGAATAGGCTCCACTAGGAGTCTTTTGTTATTTTAAGTGCTCAAAAGAGCTGATAATCACTTGTGGTGGGACAGTGTCTCTGCCCAGCCTCAGAGCTGAAAATCACTAAGAGCTGTGTGGAACCTCAAGAGGCTGACCTGCAGAGGTCACAGCAGAGAGGCAGGTGGCAGAAGGTGACCAGCGAGTGGAACAGCAGCTGGCGAGGCAGCCAGCAGATCGGGACCACAGCTGGTGCAGTGGCCAACCAGAGTAAGTGCTCAGATGGCAGAGCAAGCAAGGTGCCTTCTTCCCCAGGTGGGAGGTGAACTCACACAGCATCTCTGAACCCTGGGTCCTCACTGACCAAGGACAACCACTGTGAGTGGGGTATGGTAAGGGAGCAGAGAGGGGCACAGAAAAGGAACTGTTGGTTGTAGAACTCAAGAACATGAGGCAGAAGACATTGCCCCATGCACTCTGGGGTTGGTGTCCTTCTCACAGTTTTATGATTATGAATCCTGCTTGCGGCATTTCCCTAATTAACGTTGGGTGACTTCCCTCATTTCATTAAAAGTTTCTTTTCTAGTCTTGGACTCTATGCTTGCGAGTGGGGAAGTATTGCCTCTGAGAGGCGCCCAAGGGTGGTGTCATTTTCCCAGGTTACTGGGTGGGGGCTCGAGCTGGTTCTGTGTTGTATTGTTGAAAAGGAACCCCTAGATACTGAACACGGCCCTGGTTGCTGCCGACTCCACCTGGCAGAAGGGTTACATATATAAACTGTGCTACCTATAAGAGACCTTTGTTACAAGAAAAAGCAGGTTTAGATCTATAACACTATATTACACTTTCCTCTTGTATTTCTGGCTGCCAAGGCATGCCATATTCCTCATCAGTTAATTTGTTGATATAATCTTAGATATGCTATAGAAAAATGCACTTTTTGCAGATTCAGTTACAACGAAGTAGCACCCAATGTGGTTAAAACATGGTTTGATCCTTCATATACTACAAAACCGAACCATGTTTCATAAATTCATAGTTTAAGGCCAGAAGGGACCATCATATCAGCTTGTCTGACCTCTTGTATGTCACAGGCCATTACTTTTCACCCAGTTACCCCTGCATTAAGCCTAATAACACGTTTGACTAAAGGTTGTCTTCCAGAAAGGCATTCAGTCTTAATCTGAAGACGTGAAGAACTAGAGAACCCACCACTTCCCTTGCTCATATATCTTTCCTGCTCTGTTAGCTTGATTTTTTTAAAGTCTTTCCAAAGAGTGGTTTTTAAAAATAAGAGGGGAATGAGTGTAGAGACATTGCAGAGTCTTCTGCCCTATGTTTGAACTCTGTTGGCTGCTGTCCTGTTGTAACCAACTCCCATAATAGATGGGGCTGAACAGCTTGTGGTTGTAAGGGACTCTGGATCCTTATCTACAACTAGTGAGCGGTAATGACTGTGGTTGAATTAATTGTATAAAGTTGGTTTAAGCAAAAATGGTTCGTTGCATTCATGCTAGCCAAAGTGAATTATGTTAAGAATGCTTGCAGATTTGCCTCATGGCTACACTAGCTCTGTCTTAAACCATTTTAGCTGAAATGCCCTGTGGGTTCTTATCCCACATTTCCAGCTCAGTTCTAAGAAGCAATGCATGCTGGAAGATTTTCAAGACCACTGGTGCATTGTGGGACAGTAGTACATAAGAATAGCCATACTGGGTCACACCAATGGTCCATCTAGCCCAGTATCCTGTCTTCCGACAGTGGCTAATGCCAGACGCTTCAAAGGAAATGAGTAGAACAGGGCAATCGTCAAGTGATCAATCCCCTGTCATCCAGGCCCAGCATCTGGCAATCAGAGACTTAAGGACACCCAGAGCCTGGGGTTGCATCCTTGACTATCTTGGCCAATAGCCATTGATGGATCTATTCTCCATGAATTTATCTAATTCTTTTTTAATCCAGTTATAGTTTTGGCCTTCACAACATCCCCTGGCAATGAATTGCACAGGTTGACCGTGTTG